ACATAAGAACATTCAACTTCAACCAATACATGTGAATAACTGGAGTTAACAAGTTCACCACCAGTGATCTTCAGAAGGAATGGGAAACAACTGGGTCTGTTGTCATTCCCCAGCTAATGTGCTGGTGGAACAATAAGTTACAAGGTGCCACCACCACAGTACTCACCCAGGTCAACAGCAAATACAACATGTACTACCATCATCAGCAAATGATGGGAGGTTGCAACAATTATGGATGGTTGAGAACAATGTATCATAGTATTGGCCAACAACTTATGCACCAGGACCCTGCATACTATCTATGGTACATACTGACAAGACCCAACCATGCTTGGAAATTAATCTCCTATCCATACTACACCAAGTATGCTAAGCCAGGGGATAAAACTGGGTTTTGCCATATTGATGTCAATGTTCCAGATGCTATTACTACTGGAAGGGGCATTAACATGATACAAGGATCCTTGACCTTAACTGCAGAAGAGCCTGGTGACTGTACAGAAATCTTGCCAGGAATGCATAACCACCTAGAGAATTGGTGGGGACTAGTCAAAGAACAAGGCTTATCCACTGATGGCTATGTTCACCACATTAAAGATACAATGTATACCAAAGACAATGAAAGAAAATTTGGTATTAGGTGGACCAATGTCATTTGCAAATCTGGTGATGTCTGAATTACAAGCCCTCTGCTACCCCATGGAGCTCATGGTCCATGCAAAAAGGTCTGACGCACTATGCTACCCTGGTATGTGGCAATCCAAGAGGACCATGAACATCTAGAAGTCAATAAAGCTGGTACATGGTCCCAGCTCTCCACTGCATATAGAGATCTAGTTCCAGGGCCTTCATCTCCATCCAGCCATTCAAATCATTACACATTGGTTCCATATCAATTCTCTACTGCTATTCAATTACAAGGCTTAGGAGCTATATCAGATGCCCTGGTAGGATGAATTAGGTGGGACAACCCCATGGTAATTGAGGAACTCAATATTCTCTTTGGCTCTGATGACAAAAAGGCTCAGGACTTCATTAATAACTGGCACCTAAAGGCCACGCGAATTGCTCTGGATGCCATTGTCAAGACTTACCAAATTGAAAAGAAAGCTTTTGGTAATAAATCCTATTGGCATTGTGTGCACAACAACATTGATCCAGTGTCAGTTCAGCCTCCTCCTCCTCCTGAGAACTTGGTGGAAGAAGAGGATCATGGTGATCACTATTAGGGATTGCTGCTATCACTCTCCTTATTCTTATTTCCTATGTTTTTCCTTACCAGACTGCTCATTACTATTTATTATTCTCTTATTTTACTAAATTGGTTTTGTTTTATTTTATATGTTGTTTGTTGTCAGGGGACACCAACATTGAAGGCCAGAAGGAAATGTAGTGGGGATTCTGGTACCTTATTAGAACAAAGGTTGTTCTGGTCTGAGGCACAAACCACCCCAAAGCTACTATTCTTGAGCTATATAAACCACCTGTAGCCCCTGCATCTTGCTTATTACCTTCACACACCATGGCTCTTTTCTACACACTTGTTCCTTACTACCAGTTCAGTTATTAGTTAGTGAATATGAAGATTTCTTGTTCATGAAACTTGCTACTGTTCCTCATTAGAGCTGCCTGTGTTAGTACAGGGCTCTTTAGTACTATTACTTCTTGCAAGCTTAGGCATCTGTTAGAACATATCTATCTCTACACTTACTACTCAACCATACCCTTACTATATGGTGATTTTTCACCTTTCTTGTGCTCTCACCATATCAACCAACTCGCCTACTTTGATGAGGCATCCCATCATACCCCGCTCCAGTAGATATCACATTTCTATCTATGGACCCATCTGCAATGGGGTTGGTGACCTGTCCAGACTTTAAAGAGTATCAATGGCTTTGTGTTCTTGCATTCATATAGAGACACTGAGGTAGACAATAGATTCATTATCATGGAGACTGTGGTGAGAGCTTTACTCCATAACTTATTGGATAGTCTTGAGTCTATAAGTACACTTCTTGTTTGCTTACAAAAAAGTCATATTTCTTATTCACTTATTCTATCTTGTTAAGATGTATATAGACATATAATCTCCTGTTGTATACTCTTGCTTCTGTAGAATTCAGTCAGTTGTTGGCTTATTAATTCAGGAGCTCCATTAGACAGTATAGTGCTGATTTTTTATTCAGTAGATACTTCAATTATGTTGATCCAGTTCTTTAGAGTTTTTGGGGCTTCTACCTGCTTCTTCAGAAGATAGATTCACCTATATCATGTAGCATCATTCATTATAAGTAGAAAATACTTCACTTCACTGTAGCTTGGAGAATCAGAGTCTGTAAATAGAGTACAGCTGCCACCTGTAATATTAATAAAAATTTTAGCTTCAGACTTTGTAGAGCATGTTCTAGATTCAAATGAGTTGTGAGCTTGCTTAGCTTTAGTACAGATTTTATAGAATTCTAGCTTCTTTACTCTTTTTATTCACATTACCATTCTCAGATCTCTAGCTAGAATAGCTATATTATGGGTGTTGAGATGCCCCCAGTATTTGTGCCAATTAGTCATTGTATTCTTCTTGATTTCTGGCATCTTTGCCAGATGATTCAGTGCCAAAAGCACATTATCTTTATCTTTATTCTCCAGAGTTGCTGTTACATAACAGAGCTCTAGAAGTTTCATAAGTACTGGAAATACATATACCAGTAAATTGTGTATTCTAGATGTTTATAGAACTAGAATATCATTCTTATTAAGCACAGCTTTGAAGCTCTGTATTTTATCTGCTGATTCTAGTAGAAAGATGTGTTCTCTGTTGACATAAAGCTGTTTTACTGTAAAGCTGTCTTATATAAGCTTTCCAAAGCTTATGAGATTAATCTGGAGGTCAGGCACAATTCTAACCCCCCCAATGCTTAATTCTCTGTTGTTAGTTTGGATACTAGCTGTGCCAAATTCTCTGGTGACTGATTTCAAACCATTCACTATAAGCAGTTGTGTTGCATGGCTCTTTGAGTCTATTTGAACTAGATATGTACATGAGGTTGTGTGAAATCCAGCTTTAGAATCAAGAATTCATTTGTCTGTAGATTTGTGTGCTTCTTTTATAGAGAAGACTGCTTTATAAACTGAATGAATCTTGTCTATTGCAACTATAGTTATTTTCTTGTCTTTATCTTTAGAGTCTTCTTTAGACTTGTTAGGCTTCAAATTCTTGTTAGATTTGCAAAATTTAGCCAAATAGCCAGATTTGCTATAAATATAGCAGTTCCAGTTCTGCAGTAAGCTCTTCTCTAGATTGGATTCAGAGTTCATATTCTTATAAGACTTTTGAGGATTCAAGATTGTTGTATTTATATTTGACTTTATAGATCTATCTTTCTTCAGATCTTTCTTAAGAATTCAGTAGAGAATATTCTTTAGTAGATCTTTCAAATTCTTCTTCAGTAGATTTGTTCTGCTCTGGCATACCATATCAAATCAGTTCTGTATGAACTCTCTCCATCAGAACATAATGTTTATCTTCAAGATATTATATAGAGTGTGGTCCAGTTGTTTGAACCCTAATCTCTCAAATTCTTCATAAATTACTAGGAATCTCTCTATATAATTTCTTTCTGAGCTAGCAGATTGTGGTGTCATTCTTACTAACTTTATAAGTAGGCTTTTCTGCTGTATCTCAGGTCTCTCTTGGAAGACTGTTCTTACAGCTTTCTAGAGTTTGTAGGCACTAAGATTATCTAATTTCTTAAAGTATTCTCTGGCTTGTGCAGATATTATGCTGTTAATTAAACTGTGTAGTTAATTATTCTGAATATTCCAGTATTATGAAATCTTTAAGTGCTCTGACTATAGTGAAGTCTCTTGTCTTTCCAGAATAATCTTCTCAACATCTACTTGATAAGCTATCTTTAGAATAGCTTTGCTCCATGCTAGATAGTTACTGGCCTCAGCCAGAGTTATAGACTTCTTCACTATCTTTATGATCTTCATGAATTGGGTGATTGCTCTGCCAATTTGTGTATTTGTGTCTATAAAATTACTAATATATTCTTCTAGTTTCTTATCAGAGTCTATTTCTTGATTCTCTTCTTCTTCTTATTAAGCTTTATACTCTAGATTCTTCTGTATTGTTACAGGTGTGTTTGCAGTACTTGCTTAATCTGATAGAAGATTTACTTACTGTATCAGCTGTTGTACTATCTTCTATTATCTTTACATCAACTTCTGTTGCTTTTATATTATCTTTTGTTAATTCAGCATTATTCTGCATAATATTTAAAGTTCACTCTTCTTTCTAGACTTCTGCTTGTTATTTGGTGGGCTGTCTCTGAGCCTACTTAACTATCTAAGCTCAGTTTAGAGTATAGAGAGATTTGTTGAAGTCTTCCAGTCAGAAGTTCAGTACTCTAATTCATTCATACAGTTCATTATGGCTTTGGTGTTACCAGGTGCTCAATTTACTTGCTAGATGTATTTAGCAGGCATTTTACTTACTCTCTGGTCACATGCCAAAAAGCTACAGGGTTCAACTCACTTCCCAGCTCAGTGCTAGAAAGCTACAGAGATTGCACATATAAAAAGCATCTATCTCAATATACACTCTCTCTTGTGCTTATAAAACCTCATTATCCACAAGAATAACTGTTCAGAATGTTGATTATAAGCTTCAATATCCAATTGAGCTGTAAATCAATCTTATACACTTGCTCTTCAAGCACAAAGAGCTATAACCTGATGGAGGACTTATATGCTTGTCATTCACTAAGCTACCTAAAGGGGAATCTCGGCTAATCTATGTGGGTCACGTGAGCGAGGTGCTGGTTGGATTACCTAACATAAACCTCTCAAGGTTGAGCTCGGCTCGGATTTACTATCTACCACCAGTCTATTGGAGGCAATTCTTGCTCTTGGCAGTAAGGCAATTAAAACAATTTTACATCAAGTGTTGTTCATCTAGATGGAGTGATGATTTCAACCACTCCCAGCCCAGAAATGTAGCAGCAGAAAGAACAATTAGCCAAGAAATATCTTAGATGACTCTAGCTTCGTTTTTATCTTGTAGTTTGCGGCAGGCCTTATCAGATACATGAGGTCATCATGAAACAATGAGTCTTTCGACACGGTTTGTTCCTTCTCGAGCAAGGTTCTGCGCTGGTTGGTTTTCAGAGCATCGCTTGAATTGTATCTTTTATCTAAGTACCCCGAGGCGACGTCGTGAATTCCTGTCATCCCGCCTGTCATGCCAGGATTAACAACTATCGAGCCCTCAACCTCAGAAACCTCGCTCCTCTGAGTTTGATCTCCCGTTTTCTTCTTCTCTTAAGAAATGACTTCCCTGTCGGAAGACGATCGCAAGACTATTAAAGATCATCCCTTGAATGATTCTCTCGACCGATTACAAAGGTCACTCCTGGACGTGGAACATTCTCTTGACAGGGCCAATGACATACCTGAACACATCTGCCAGGAGGCAGTATCACGACTTCTGGCTGCTTTGCAGAATACAGAAGCAGCTTTTGTTCTTCGGTCAAGAATCAGCAGTTGTGATGTCGCGTCAGAAATCGCACATCTATTTGCGCGTGTTCGAAACGGCGACTTCAGCTACACCCACTACCGCCCACTAGTGAAGCTCATCATCCAAAAAGCATCCGACTATGACATCTGGAGCGCCATTCTTGATCTCATTACCACACTCTCAAGAGTGACCCCTACACCAGCAAGTGTTCCTCCCACATTTGACAACACACCCATCACCCATTCCTCCACATCACAGCAAGGCAGTGAACAGACTCGGCAGCTGATTGAGGCAAGAGTCTTTGAGGAGATCCGCAGCTGCACATACCAAGATGTGGAAGGATTCTTTGATAAATACTTTGACAGGAAGGACTGGACAGATTGTGCGCGGAACACTTACAAGTCAATCAAAGACCAATATGTCAATGGCAGATGGTCCACTCTGCCTGACTCACCCACCCAAATCCAAATGCAGGACTGGTTGTTTCGACTGCAGGAAGATTTCCTCTCAAGGCAGCGTCGTCGCTACTATACAATAAACATTCCAAATGAGCTTACCGGCAGTGAGGCCCGGCGGCAGGTTGATCTGATCATTAAACAAAAGAGTGGAGAGCCGTCGGACTCAGAGCACGACTGGAGAGATATTGAGGTGGTTGGCAAGCTGAAGGCATCCAACAGCAATGGCATCAAGAAGACATTAGTTCAGCTTGCCTGTTACGCGCGAGATGTGTTTGCATGTCAGCCAACACGCTGCTACCTCCATGTGTTCACCATTTGCGGGCGTGTGATGGAGGTGTGGGTCTTTGACCGCTCTGGATGCTATAGCCCAGGCCTGTTTGATATTCATAATGAGCCGGAATGATTTGTACAGGTGATTACTGGCTATCTGATGATGAATGAGGATGAACTGGGTCTGGACACATTCACAGAGCAAGATGGCAACTCTTGCTTCATAAATATTGAGCAAGAAGGCGCTGAAATAAACAGGGTGCAGCTGCGACCAGAGCCTCTCACCTGTCAACAAGTGATTGTATGTTGTGGAATGTCTTGCTATCTCACCAAGTCACCATATGCGCCAGAGTCTGACAACTGGAGCTACATCACCAAGTTCTCTTGGACATCTGACAGAAGGAAGCCCGAAGCAGATCTTCTCAGACTGGCCAACCAAAAAGGAGTCAAAGGCATTGCTACATTGGTTGGTCATTGGTCCATCACCAGCATCAAAGAGATGCGCTCAGGCATGACATTTACAAAGCCGTACTCTTTCTGTGGTACTCCCAGGGCGGTGTCATCCCTTTCTCAGTTCTTTTCTCAGTCATAGCCGCCGAGTGCCCTTTCGCGATCATTTAGCGACCTCAATGACCTAACTACCGCAGAAACTACTGGAGAGCGTCCGTTAAGGAAACGAAAGTCCGCTGATGCTGGCACAAAATCATCAAAGGGATCCAGGTCCACTAGTCACCGATCAGGTCCGCGAAACGAGGTTACATATGATGTGGAAGAAGCCCAGGGGACCAGTCTGCTTGTCCCCAGCAACAGCCCATATGACAACCAGATTTTTTGCTGCCTTGTCATCTATCCCGCAGGCCGGCTGATCCACAAATATGAGACCCCTTTGGAGCTGTTGGAAGCACTTCATGATGCCTTGAAGACACATAGATCCCTTTATATGGATGGAAACATCCTTCATCAAGATATTTCCGAAAACAACATCATCATAACAGATTCAAAGAAGACTGGCTTCGCAGGGATGCTGATTGATATGGATCTAGCCGAAGAACTTGGCGGCCGGCGAAGCGGTGCGCGCTGTCGCACCGGCACCATGGAGTTCATGGCTATCGAGGTGCTGCTCAGCATCGATCATACATATCGACATGATCTTGAGTCATTCTTCTATGTTCTTCTTTGGCAATGTGGTCGTCGCGGCTGGAACTTAGGGCGCAATTTAATAGGTCAGCCTAGAAGCAGTTTACTTACAAATTGGTATACCGGAAGTTATGAGGATATCGCCATTGCTAAACAAGGTAGTGTTGAAGCTGACATATTTGAGGTCATTTTGGCAACGGAATTTCCTCCTGTGTTCGATTGCGTCAAACCACTTTGCAGAGAGCTACGCGGAATCTTGTTTCCAGTACGAGGTAATTCCATTTTCACAGGTACACCAAAGGACCCAGAGATTCTATATGGGCCGATCATCAAAGCTTTTGACAAGGCTATTGATAGTATCAAAGGGAGAGAATAGGGTACTGTGGTTGTGTTTTGTGTTTTGCCTGTTTTTTTTTGGATACCCAGCGTGCATTGTTCAATTAATCAGGTTTACATCTTTCAGTGTTACATTAAAGAGGAATAATCCTGCCTACTGTGTAAACAGAACCCTTCAAAATATGTGGCCACTGTTATTGAATTAGGCCAGATAGAGTGAAGCAACTAAAGCCAATATATTTCTTCCAGTTCTCTGCTGTCTACTCCATACTCTGTACTGATATTCTAGTTGGTCTTGTGATCCACACTCGTTTACCTGACTGGGTGCCCAGCCACCAAGCAACTCCAAAACTCATTCATCAAAAGTTAGATCTTTTTTTCCTTCAATGCATTCCATTAGAAGATATTATTAGATGCCATGACTTGTGCAGGCCTATCTACATGCTCAGAACACTCATCGCCACCGAATGAGGTGATAAGATAGTTGAGCAGGTAAATTTTTGGGATGGAAAAAATATGAAGATCAAGGCAAGCATGAGACATTCAGAAAGACTGTTAAAAGAAAATAGCGAGCTGAGGGATCAAATAAAGACGCATGCCCGGCCCAGGAGATAGCAAATGAAAAGCAAACTCAGTCCCGAATGTTTTCACCACCGTAGCATTACCAAGCTGTCTAGCCAGCATGCTATTCAGTTTTTGGCTCCTGTGCTGGCATGTTAGCTCAGCACGCACCAAATGGTAAAGTTGAGGATTCCAACTCTCGGTTTGATGGTCCGGGTTTGTCGTGACATGCCAAGTTGTCGTGACATGCCAAGTCGCATAAAACTTTCCATCTTCCTTGACAGCGCAACGGAGTAATCTCAATCATTGGTTTTATTTTGACTTTTTTCGACGAGGCGTGGGTTGCTGGATGCTTGATATTAGGCGCAGTATTGCGACTCGATAATGAGGCCTTGAGAAGAATCTGTTTCTCAGTTATTGAAAGCATCGTGCCCAATCTTTCCCCATGTGCTACATTGTTGTAAAACACCACAATCCATTGGAAGCTCCTTGTTCTCCAACTTATTGTGCCTACCTACGGTTGACGATTTGTTTGTTGAATGGAATGTGTAACTTGTCATGCACTGTCGTTATGTCATATCCCGGCCCTCTTAACTTGTTAAAAGCAAAATGATTCGATTCCTGGGTATAATACGGCGTTATTGGCATAGATCATAACAATCATAAGCACGACATTGAATAGAACCTGGATCGTCCCCTGTATTTCAATAGTTTTGGAAAAGCAGGCGCGAATCAGTAAAGCGCTCGCCCACTCTAAGTACTAACTGCCTCATCAAGCCATCCTCCCAATCTCAACGTGACGAGTCGGCCCAGTTCCGTGGACCCGCCCTCTCGCGCCCCGAGCTCCTCCATGTCCTGAAGGATCTTGTCAATGTACTCTCCTGCGCCTGAGAAATGAAGGATACACGCAATTGCTCTGTGTAGAGCAAGGAGTCGGGGTAGTGGGGGATCGATGGACCGATCATCAGTGAGGTGTAAGGTACGGGTGATAGGAAATCGGAATTCTGGTAAGGCAGCAGCAGGAAGAAAAGTATCGATTTGGTAGGTGTGTTCCTGGTTAGGAACAGGCTCGAAGTAAATTTGGAAGTTGCCAAAGATGGTATGAAGGTCACGGGTCAGGGTCATGGCGTTGAAGGCTCGGTCGATATTTGTCCCATCAATGAGAAGAGATACATCGCAGTCGAACATATTGAGGATCATAAGTGCGGACTTTTTGGACTCACTCTATGCACCAGTTAGTCCTGAATGATTGGGGAAAAAAAAAAAAAAAAAAGAAAGAAAGAAAGAAAAGAAGAAGTCAAGAAAAGAAATCCGTTTCAGCAGATGCCTTACTAAAGTATTGTCCGAGTCTGTCTGTGTTAGAGAATGTGGCAGAATATGCGCCACCTCGAGAAACATTAATTGCTGGCCTTGAAGTTGATGTCCTTCATCGTCCTGAGCATTACTGCCCTGCTGTATCAGTCGAATTATTGCCTCCTTCCGATCAAACGCATGAGATATCACGCAGCGATGACGGTCACGAATAAGGCAAGCGCCTCGGAGAACTGATAATCGTTCTGGCGTCCCGACAAACTCATGAACTGGACCCTGAGCCCGTTGGACTGCTGAAAGATGGAGCGGGTGATAGTTGCGTGGTGCGCTGGCTAGAGGCTTTTACTATATGAAGCAAGAAGAAAGAAGTTTAGCAAATGTCACACAATGGATGTAGTAGTAGACAGGGCAACAAACGCGGTATAAAAAAGTTGTCCAGCAGGAAGTCTGCAAAACTGGTCAGCTTCTCATTTATCTCATCACCGTTATCATCAAAGTCAATGTCTCCTCCAGCAACATCTAGGTCTATCGACTTAAAAAAGGCGCGTAAGAATGTGTCTTGCGATAATTCTGAGCACGAATACTCGTAAGTGTACTGCACAAGGAGTGGGCGGCTGTATGCAGCATCAGGCGGTTTCTCTGTTCTACAATAGTTGATGATACTGTAGAATCTTTGTTTTGCCTGCATGCGCTTCTGCACTGGCAAGAACTCAGGTCCTGAGAAGTTGAGGATGCCCTCTAGGGAGGCCTGGTGGCGGTGTGGAGCCATTGTTTGCTTCGTCGAAGGACAATGGGAAAAAGAGAGAAGAGGCACGTTTTACATTGCGTTGTTGACTAAGCAGGTGAGAGGAAGGTAACTAGCGGTTAGCAGTGTCTCCATCATACCTGCCCGTCAACGTGGTCGGCACGTAATATTAATTTCCCGAGAATATCACGTGATTCAGAAAATCACCGCCAAAACGACGAAAAAGCCGAGTCGAACTGGCGGCGACTGAATGCAGACACAGCACGCTCCTTGCTCCGGATAACAAGATATAGACACAATGCCTCCGCGGTTGCCCTGGCGGCTGCCGTCACACCTATCTCCATCACTAGGGGCCCTATCCTCGCAGCCACAGCTCCTCTCCTCGGCCCCATCACCTCTCCTCCGCAGCCTTCCTTCTCTTTTCCCATGCCAGTCGTTAAGCCAGCAGTCGAGCCAGAACCGCTACGCATCGATCCTGTCGACGCTGTCCGATGTTCCAAACGCATACAATAAGCGCATTAGACGAGGGCGCGGTCCCGCTTCCGGCAAGGGTAAGACCTCTGGTCGAGGTCACAAGGGTCAAAAGCAGCATGGCAAAGTACCCGCAGGCTTCAACGGTGGACAGACCAAGGATATCGTCGTTCACGGAGAGAGAGGATTTGACAATATGTAAACTCCTCCCCCACTCTCCTCCCCCCCTTGCCCTTTCAATAGGCGATCCGGGCCCGTTGCTAACCCGATTGAAACCAGCTTTACCGCGGACATCTCCAAGGTCAATCTTGACCGCATCCAGGACTGGATCAACCAGGGCCGCATCGATCCCTCGCAGCCCATCACCATCAGAGAACTCGTGAAAACCCGCTGCATCCACGGCATCAAAGACGGCGTCAAGCTGCTCGGCCGCGGAGGCTCCACCGCCCTCAAACAACCCATCAACATCATCGTCTCCCGCGCCTCCGCCTCCGCCATTGCCGCCGTTGAAGCTGCCGGCGGAACGATAGTGACACGCTACTACACGCGACATGCCATCAAGCGGATCCTCAACGGCAGGACGGATCCGTACGTCTCGCTGGCGTGGGCGAATGCCCAGATTCACGCTGAAGCTGAGGGGGACGGTGCTGAGGCGAAGACGAAGGAGTTGAGTATTGGTATGGGATTCGATAAGCCCAGGGCAAAGGGCGAAGGGTTCCAATACCGGCTACCGGATCCCACGAATCGTAAGGATATCGAGTACTACAGAGATCCCGCGCATAGGGGCTATTTGAGTTATCTAGTAGGAGACGGAGAGGGACCGAGTTTGTACTTTACGCCGCCGGGAGAGGAGGGGAAGAAGACGAAGAAGGTCGGCAAGAAGGCGTCGGAGAATCGGGTGTGGTAGTTTCCTTTCTTTTGTTTTACTTCTGATGGTGTATATTAAGTGAACTGGTTACATGGCATCTACGCTTGTCTGTACGAATAAGACTATTTCATACTATGACCCGAGCTTTCTTGCGTGTATATGACCGAGGATACTCTCTATGTACCGTCTAAATATGTCCGTAACCCAACTAGAACAGACAAACAAGACAGCTCTACAATTCCCGTCACGAAACCAAAATATATCACAGCTTCACCCCATCATCCCACACCCTTAGTAGTCCATCTTGCACTGTCGTAGCCACCAGCGTCCCATCCGGTCCCCAAATCTGCCCCTGATGCAACGCCCTATTCTCCCCCGCCCTTGTCGTCCTCGCCTCGATAGTAAACCACTTCCTACCCCTCCCCTCACCCAAATCTGCTGTCCCATCAGCCCCAGGATGCACATCCAACCTATCCCAATCAATCATCCTCATCGCCGGCCCATGCGTATGTATGACGACCGTATGACTCAAACTCGCAATCCGCCTCACCCGCTGCGCACTATTCAGCGCCCACGCAATCAACCACAACGAATTCCTATCGCTCGCAAACAGATGCGCGCATATATGCAAATTATCAAACTCACCCGCCTCATCACGGGCCCGGAGCGCAGCGATATCGTCCCTGCCGTAACCGCTCCCCTCCTCATCGTCGCCGGGGAGCCCAAACAACCTATAAAAATGCACCTGCCGATACCGCGTCGGATCCTCCTTCGCCCCAACCATCTCGTTGTACCTTTTCATCTTCACTTTTCTAATATCGGTACCCGAGAACGGCACGGCCGGACGAAGGCCCTTCTCCACCTCCTCGGTCCACTGTGGTGTATCTAACGACGGTGCCAGCGGCTGGTTTTCCCGCTTGATTCCCTGGAGAGCCACCTTGTATCTTCCGTCGATGTCCATGGGAGGCTGAAAGCAGAAATTATAACTGCTCTCAACGCGCTTGAAGCTAACAAGGCATGAAAAGCAGATTTCTTCCTTCTGACGGACGTCAACGGCGCGGAGGCAGTACGTTTGGCCTTCGCGGACATGGCGGACGTAAAATGTAAAGGGGATGGATCCGGTGCCTGGAGCCGTGAAGGAACCGGTAATGTTCTGCAGGAGTTACTCTTTCTTTTTAGATCTAGTTGATGAAACAGGAGGGCTTTTTATCTCAAAAAAAAAAAAAAAAAAAAAAGAAAGAAAGTAAAGAAAAGAAAAGAAAAGAAGGGGGGGGAAAGGCTCATGATGAAGCAAGCAGCCAAAGATCCACCAAGCATGTATCGATCAATACATACGTGTATCAGCATCCCCTTATCCACCGTTTTTGCTGCTGCGTACGCGGAGTGCCCGAATACATAACCCCCATACGCGACTCTAAACTCGCGCGGTCGCAGGGGCGCGTATTTCGCGCGAAATCGCTCGTACTTATGCCCACTGGGCGATTCCGTACCGGCATCGAGACGATCGAGAGCGAAGAGCTTGACGAGCGGGAGATAGGCGGGGGGTTGCGGGGCCGTTGGGTACGTGCTCTCGTCGACGGCTGGGTTTGTTTCCGGCAACGTAGCGGAGGAGCTGGAAGGGGCCATGTGGTCGGAATCACAGCCTGTGGTGCACTGTGAGCAATAGAGGCGGAGCTCCTCTCCTCTTTTTATCCCGGAACGGAGGCGAGAAAGACTGGAAGGGAAAGACGCAGGAAAAGTGGAACGAAGTGAAGAAGACCAAGCTTCCCTCGTCACGCCAGTGAGCAGCACAAACATTCAGAGCACAAATAAGGGAAATAGGAGAGAAAACAGAAAAGGAAAAAAAAAAAAAAGAGAAACAAGGAGTCCAAAACGGACTCTGTAGAGTTATTACTTCCTAGTAGCCAAAAACCGCCTCCTAGGTTCATATCTCGGCCCCCCGCGAGGCTCGGTTTCCTCCTCCGCCGCCGCCGGGGGTACTTAAGCTCTCCGGGACGTCCAAGCCCTCCATACGGAGCCCTACGGAGATGCCATTCCGCAGCATTCTTCACGCAATGATCTTCCCAACATAGCTTCGTACCCTGCCACAGCTTCAAGGACGCCAGCGCGAGAGTTGTCCCGGTTGTCGCTGCGTCTGCTCAGGCGGCGGCTTTCTGCCCTCGGCAACCCCGGATTTACCACGGCCCGATCCAATCCCCATCACGTGACCCAGCCCCTTTTTCTTGGGTCAGCGAGTTCGTATGTGCAATGAACGCGGAGAATGTGGAGGGGCCAGTGGTGGTTTGAAGGGGAATGCTAAGATGCAATTAACGGTATGCCGTGCTATTCAAAGTGAAGTTTAATAGTGTGGGCACAACGGATACGGCCCCATGCAGTATCCGCCACAAACAAACAACCGCTGCAAACGGCTACAGACGTGATTAAAATCCATACGGAGTACTCATACAGAAAGTGTCTGAAAGTAAAAGTAGCAAACCACGGTCCACGGCTGCCACATAACTAAATTCATAGCCGATGTATGATATCGCAACGGTGGTGGTCCTTACCCCCATCCCCCATATCCGGGCACCAGACCAGTACCCAGTAATTTCAATAATAAATGAATAAGAAAAGATGACCGGACCTCCCATCACCTTAAACGGGGCAGGCCAGAATAGAGATAAAAGTCCTCTGATAAAAATTGTCATGATCGCATAACGTATGTGGTATAAAACATGCATCAGTTTCCAATCTACAAATTAACGCCAGGGAAATGCAAAACGAAATAGGCTTCAAAGATATAATGCTGTACAAGGCGGCGGGAAAAAGAGGGTTAGAGAGAGGTAAGGCATTGGTAGGCGTCTTCTTTCAAGGGAACATGGCCGTTTTAGGCAGTTCTCTGAAACATGCGAGGAACAGAGCGTGTTGGTGTGTAAGGTTGCTCAGACCACCCGTCTGGCTGTGGGTAATAAGGCAACACGCCGGTTCGACGCTCAGTGATAGACTTGCTCAGTGGCTGGTAATGCATCATGTCCATGGGAAGATGTCTTGGTTGCTGAAGGGAGGCAGATGGTGGAGGATACAAAAGGGTGTTGACAGCCCGAACTGGTCGATACGGAGAGTTTCGATCCAGAACCGAAATTGGTGAAAGACGGGTGGGAGTATGGCTCGAATAGGCCGAGAGAGCAGGAGATATATCCGTTGACGAATTGATCGGATAAGGGCTCGACCGCCTGTTGAGATCCGGGATAATGGCCGGGACACTCGGGAGGTTGATAGGTAACGGCGCCAAAGATGTCGGAGTAATTGGTTGCTGAGGCCACGTACCGGGGGCTGCATATACGGCGGACATGGCACGGGCTACAGGGACAGGCAGCTGGTTGGAGAGGGTGGCACTAGTGCACGGGAGGGGTTTGGTAGAAATCGTCAATGCAGGCGTAGGAAGCTGACAGGTCGGTAGCTGCGGAACACGGACACTTGGCTGGGATCCTACCGTTCCAGTTGACATACTGGACAAGGTGCTGCATGCAGAAGTTGATAGTGGTGGTACAGGAGTCGGGTAAAGAACATGGGACGATACTGGCTGGACACGGTTGTTTGGTCCTGCCAGCTTCTTCACTGGGTGAGCGTCTGCCTGTCCGTCCCAGCTCCGCTTTCTATTATTCATCAGGGGCTCGACAGTTGCCGGTGAGTGAACGATCGGAAGTGGGAAAGACACCCCGGAAGAATTCGTTGCAGGTGGAGAAGGTAGAGTCGGAATTTTAGGCTGGGGAAGGGTGATAGGGCTACCGGACATTGGTGTTAAGGATGGTGAGATCTGAAGAATTGGCGTTCTGGGTTGCTGGGACAAGGTATCCTGGGGCATGCGGGACGCACGATCGAAATACTGAGCAAAGATCCGTAACTTCAAGTGCCATTTCTCCCATTCCTCCTTGGTGACAAAGAGATTATACCGAACGTTGCTAAGGAATTCGACTTCCATCACATGGATTTCTTGTATTGCTATACCGGAAACTTCAGCCCATGTCTTGTTCGTGTAGGTATTGTCGTCGAGAACTAAACAGATCTATGTCAGCATCCCTCGACTTCACCTGACATCTCAAAATGGAGGGGGGAAAAAGGGGGATTCATACACTTGTTCCCCATCATCAAAGCAATTGTCATCAATCTGAACTCGCTACCCCGTTTACCTCTCACAGACGGATTGAACTTCTTTAACCGGTACACGAACAGCAAAGCCAAAAGGACAACGTTTCGACTGACTTGTGTTGTGGAGAGAATCGTGGTCATCCATTTCCTGAACCCGATGCTAGGCATAGACTCTGGATCAAGGGGAGGAAGATTATAGTAGGGTGAGGACGCTCCATCTTCGATTTGCTTGAGTTTCGAGGCTTTAGCGAACCAGAAGAGACAAGTTATCTACAGACAAATCACCTGTCAGTCGAAAAAGCCGCACAATTTTGATGTTTTTCCTAGAGGAATAGGTCTCACCTGAGCAGCAAAATCCGCCAAGCTACCTCCATTCTCGCAGATCGATGATGGGACCTGAAGATAGATAGCAATGGAGCTTTCCTTGGCTGGCTTGGGTTCACTTTCTGGTAGCTGGCTCGTCAGTGACGGAGGCTGTTGTTGTCGTGAGCCCTGAGTGACCACCTTCGGTTCTGACACCGAAGGAGCCATAGGGACGTTGCTGATGTTTGTATGCAAGGGACCAGGAAATTTGTAGCCGTGCCCCCCATGACTGAGCGGGAAGGCGAGGTCAGTCATGTCCTTTGGCGGGGTTGACAAGCCGTAATGGAATTCCGTCGACGAGCTCAAGGCATTCGCGGAGGCTTCTAGACCGGTAGCCTGCTTATAAGTTGGAGGTTCTCGAGCGGGTCGGTTGGTAAAGGGAGGTTCGGTCCAAGTAGGAAGAGGAAGATGAAGCATGGGGACTTGCTGGACGGGCGACGAGAAAGAAGGTGAAGAAGGTGGTGTGTTGCTGACAATAAGTTGACGTTCGAGGTCAGGAAGGAGAAAGAAGCATTGAGAAGAGTGGTGAAAGCAAAATCAGAAAGGAGGGCGTCCATCAATCTAAGGTTTGATCGTTTTTGCATTCAAGTGGAGGACGGACCATGCCTCGAACGGGACAGAGAGGTGAAGTGGATCGGGGAAGATGACAGAAACAATGGGGAAAAAAAAGAGTTCATGTCAATGGAGTCAATGAAGGCAACAAGAATAATATTAATTTTGAAGCTTTTTTTTTTTTTTTGGGGAAATAAATTTCTTTCCCTTTTTCTGCCTGTTTTGTTTTTTCCCCCCTTTAGTATTATTGAGGAGGGACGGTGAAATTGTGGTAGGCGCTGTTAGGCGTCGTGGTGTAATGCAATGAGGAAGCTGGAAGAGCAGGCCGGGTGGAGTCAAGTGGAAGCTTCTCGGCATGATTTGTTGGAAGTGAAGTCTCACATATAGATTCAACCATGGCGGGGATGGACCGTCACCACATGCCACCAGCCCCAGGCGGAAAAGAGTTAGCGGTGATAGCAGGAGTAATTAACAGGAGAAGTCCGGAATTAGAGACCAGGCATGCTCCATCAAACTCAAAGTAAGAGAGACGGCAAAACACAAAAAAAAAAAAAAAAAAAGGAGTGACGGGAGTGCCGGGTAGAGTGTCGCAGTGATCCCTTGGGTTAAAAGGCCGTATTCAATAGACTGTGGTACTCCGGATGTATGGATAGACACAAGAGGTGCCTCTCTGACCCGGGGAAGGGTTACGGAATCATACTAAAGAAGAGGGTCTCACTAGTACTAAGCATAGGGAGTTACGGAATGTACGTAACTGGTGGTGAGAAAAAGTCTTGCCGAACAAGAGGATTAACCCATCGTCATAGGCCACAGCGAGGAACCAGGTGTTTTGGAAAGGGAAAAAATAAAAATAACAAAGATTGAAAAAGATGGAACACTTTCTTTTTCATCCATGATCCATTCAGCAGCTACCTTTTTTTTCTTTCCCACCAACAGGATCATTGAAATTTGGCGGGAGTAAAATAAAAAAAAGGCAGAAAGGGCAGAAATAATGTTTTTCGCAAATTAATGCCGGCCTTCTTTATTGTGACCACCCTGGTTCTAGCGGTAGTTGGCGAGGTTTGACCCAGAAACAGGACCAGACCGGACCGGGAGGGCTGAAGGCTGATCGCTGCTGGTGCTTGGATGGCTGCCAGAAAGATCCGATCTTGCCTAAATTTTTCGCCATCCTTCGTTAATTTTTCTTGTCGTGAAGATGGCAAAAAGAAGAAATGTGCGCGAGCGAGGGAAAAGGGAATGGGAGGGGGGGGAAAAAGTGGGAAGAAAGGGATGGGCTAGCGCGGTTGATGTCAGCAGTGAATGTGGCACGGTGGAGTTGGTAACGTTAGGTCGCTCGTCTCGTCCTGTTACCTGGTAACACCCGCATGACCACCCGTATTCATTGGTCCGCCGTCGTATGTATTACACCGTACGCCCTCTGTTCTGTAAATTCCCTTCCGTCCTCACGGATGCGCCCCAAGCAACCTCCCCTTACCTCAAACGCGCGCGCCCCCCCACCAACTAAAGTTCGCCCTGCTTTCCGTCCATCCCACGACGCCCCAATCCCTCTCCGTATTACCAATGTATTACTCCCTGTCGGATGGCCACCGGAGTTACTCTCGTGGGGAGGGGGCAGGGTGTTTCCGTTCCATACATACGGAGCACATACATTGAGATCCTTTCCGGTGGCTGAGGATGATCCAAGGAATGTGCAGCGCCAGCGTCACTTATCACCACTCTTTGGTCCCAGATCCGTAATCATAATCATCGTTATTAAGAATATTAATCATAAACCACACGTAATATCAGAAAAAGTCCATGGTCGATGGAACGGGGCTTCATCACCCTGCAGTCTTTGTGCATTACATGTATGCCGCTTCCGCGACACCTCAACTCTCGGGGAATACCAAGATAGTCCATCGATCGCCGTTATAGAGTACTCCGTAGAGCGATTCCTGGATACAGAGTTGCAGAACCATCGCAGACTATCGAGTGTATGATTGGGGTGTCGAACGATCCAAGGGAACGATCCATGTGGAGGAATGATACATCCCATCTTTCACCTGCCATGTTCACACCCGCAAATCACCACCCAGGACCGATAATTTTAAGCGACGCCTCTTCTGAAATTCCCTCGCCGGAATTGCTGGAACATATCGAAGCATGTTAGGTCCCCCAGGCGCCAGATGTAATGGAGTGCAACGGAGGATGAAGGGGCGGGGCAAGTTTGAAGGCGCTGACCCCAACGCTAAGGTAAGTGGAGAGTTTGTGAATGAACGTAGCGCCCTGCAAGCTGGCGTATGATAGCCCATAGTAACTGCGATGTGAGTTATACTAACTCCAGAGGAATGCTACATACGGAGTACACTTTGCGACCTTTTTGCTCCAACAGAATTGGCGCCCTGGGCGAAGATGGGTTTAAACTACGGAGCACACCAGTCCAGTGAGACACTTTTCCTCCAGCGTCATGCACGACTGTTTGATTTGCCTTGATGGGCGTAACACGGGAATATACGGAGCCTGGGTGGATTTTGTGAGCAAGGCACACGCGCACATACCCCAGTCTGCAAACGAGAAAGAAGTAATGAGAAGTGCAACACAATAACCCGATATGTATGTATGTATGTATGTATGTATGTCGATTTATTCTGCTCGCCCTGGATCTTTTTACAAGCTGCCACGAAGCGTAATATGATAGACCCCGAAAGGTAGGAGATCAAGGAGGCGAGGTTCCTTAATGCGTGTGATACACCTTCTCGGCTTACTGGAGCAAAGGAGTCCTTGACCAGGGCCAAAAAAAAAAAAAAAAGGAAAAAATAGATAACTCATAAAGGAGCTCTGTAAATCGCTGCCGTTGTTATGCTTGCCAGCACGCCGCAGGTCATGAAGGATAGGCACTGGAGAGTGGGGGGATATTACTCGTCCTCCTTGTCGGGGTTTTGAATCCAGCCAGGGTTAGAAGGCTGAGCAAACTCCCGGGATCGCGACTGATAGCGTTCCTTACAGTGCATGAGATGAGACTCGGCAACCAAGCTTTGTCCAGTGAAGTTGGTAGAGAGGGAAAGATTGACGAGGAAAAAGGATCAACCTGCGGCCGGATGACGATTGATGATGGCTGAATAAACGACGGACCCAGGCGCAACCCCCCTATCAAACTTCGGTTGCGCAAGTATGCACGGAAGAAAGGGGTTGGTTGGCAACGGAATCGTGGGTTTCCTTTCTGGTCCACACAAAGCCGGGAAAGGAGGAAAGTGTGATTCTGGGGAAGGGAAGGCTGGGTTTCTTTCGATTCTCAGACCGATGATAAGTGAAGGCTGAATGAGACAAGAGGCTGGACTGCACGCAGCTGCTTGCTGCGATGCAATCCCGCATCGAGCCTGGCAGGTCAAATCTCACCAAAAAAGCCTGTAATTTTCAAACCCAGCCTGCCCAGTGGAAGCTCATATTCAACCATATTGGATGAGCGAACGGCCAATCAGGGGAGCAACCTGGGAAGCGCAAACCCAAGCAAGCCGGTGCGGTAAAATTGCCTCGGCGGCGGTAATCTCCTCACGGTGGCATTGCGGTGGATTGAGAGGGCGACCACATGTAACGCTGTAAGTTACAGTGTTATGAAGATACGTATGTATATACAGTGTCCCGTAGTCCGTATCCCGTACTGTACGCGGTCCAGTATGTAACTCGGAGTATGGACGGAGTACGTATGGGTGTATTCGGTGGCATCAGATCTTCCCTCGGTAGCCCCATCAATTTTGCATAGGTGTCTAAAGGACCGCCGTCTAACGCCAGGAGCACGATCCGGTGTTTCCTATCCAACTTTGCCTGCTGCTTTTCGTTCCTCTGGCGATCAATCACCAGCCCAACCGAGGATGCCCGTTTCGACGAAACGAATGGTTGTCAGGTGAGCCATTAATATATCTGCCTTGGGTCATGGATCCAACACATTCCCTTTCTGTGGACTCCTTAGCGTTGGCACTCCCAACGTCCCAGCATCCCGACGGACGGGCGGTGGTTGGATGGGCCAGCTGATTCGCCTGCCAGCCGTGTCTGGCCCTGTTGATGCGGTACATGCTGAGCAGCGAAGGACCAAAGTTACGAGCGTGGCATTCATGACTAAGAAATGAACCCAACGCGTTCCAAGGGTTGGACATTAGCGCGGTTAAGCGGCTCTTGATTGGATTCTGGCCGGTTTTATTCGCTAGGAGAACGCGAATCACGAATCGCGACCCATCGCCCTCGTTTTGCCATACGGGACTGATACGCTGCTGCTGGAATGTGTGATTCGTCCCGCCCGTAACTCGTCAGATTATGTGGTCTCTGTGCCTTGTTCGCTCACAGAAGTGTCGCTGGAGTGCCTCAGAATGGAAGGGAAGGGGAAATAAGACAAAACAAAAAAAAAAAAAAGGAAGAGACCCTTCAAACCTGCCCTGTTGTAGCGTATTCTCAATGCTGGTGAGGTGAGTGGCTATTTTGGTACCGGCTCATCTCCCCAGCCAAAAAAGTCTCCCCGTCCACCTGCACGAACGGCACACAGATGCTCGCATCAGGCACGCGTATTTGGTCGGGCAAAGGCGGGTCTTCCTTGTGGCTCAATCTCTTGTCAATTTCCGTGACTTTGACCCAAAGTTCAATCCTCGCAAAATGTACGGACTAAGGTTACAACAGCCGTTACATACTTGCCCTTAAACCATCACCGGATCATCAATGGTTCCAACAAAGATAAGTGTTTCTCCCGCGTGCGTTGAGCGACACTCGGTATCGGTGAGGTGATGAGCATCAGGGTGGCTGGCTCACCTGTTGCATGCATCCAAAAAATCTTAATCATCAGGATTGTTTTGTCTTGCATATATGTGTGTGTGTGTGTGTGTATGTGTGCCTGAAAAGGGAAAACGAGACGGTGCTGCCACTTCTTCCCTTGTCTCTTGTGTAAGCCCAATTTTCTCGCCCTTCAATGACGGACGTATGTGTGTACATCCGCCTCCTGTATTCCTCCACCCATGACACCCCACAGTACAGGATGCCTTGCCCGACAGTTCCGCATTGAACAATCAACTGCCCGTGTCCGAATTGCTGAACAGGCTTTTCGAAGCGACGCGCGTGTCTCCTTGAGGCGAAGATTGGCGCATGTGATAACGTTCAGTAGTTCGTCCTTTATTGCGTGATCTTTTTCCCCTTCTCAAGGGTAAGAACCTCGCAAGTTGCGTCGGCGATGTGGCTAATTTT